TTTCTCCTCTGGCGCAACCACCAGATTGCCCAAAGGATCTTGCAGGGGCCCCACATTTCCCAGTGCTTTTTTCATCCTCCCTATATATTTGAAAAAGGACTTTTTGTTATCTTTGATTTTGGATGCAAGTCCTAGCTCTATGTCTGCCTTAGCTTTCCTGACAGCCCCCCTACAGGCCCGAGCAGAGGAGGTATACTCCTCTTTGGAGATAGCACCCCCCTTCCACTGGGGGTACATCACCTTTTTGGCAATCAGGCATTCCCAGACACCCTTGGTGAGCCAAGGGGGCTTTTGGGCACTCCTGTCCCCCTTGCTTTTTGTTGGGATGGTCACCCCTTGGGCCCTGAGTATCGTCTCCTTAAGGAACGACCACTCATCTTGGGCACTTAGTTCCCCTGCCCTTGAGAACCCCAGTGCCTCTCCCATTAATCTCCTCAACTCATTGAAGTTGGCCCTCTTGAAGTCTAGGGCTACTGCCTTATATAAACCTGGTCAAATCAGTAGTGGCATGGCTGCTCCTCCCCCACTCTCACATAGATAAAGGCAGGGAGTTTGCTAGGGTGATAGGCATGCCAGATGTCCACCAGGGAGTTGTCTGTCAGGGATCCCCCAAGGATGCCCATGGCAGCCTGGTTGCACTCCCTGCCCAACGGGTCTCACACATCTAGGGTGACATTAAAGTTCCCACCAAGGACTAGGCACTCACAAGGGTTGAGGATGCCAAGGTAAGTGGCTGCCTGGTGGAAAAAATCCATCAACTCCAGGTCCTTCATAGGGGTGTGTATGTATAGAAGGTTTAAGACCAGCCCCTGCACTTGGACCTGGAGGTGCAGCAGCAGCCCGGCACCACCTCAATGTTCTGGAGAAACTCTGGATGTAGGCCTGGGGAGAACAGGGTGGCCACTCCGCAAGAGGTGGCTGAGAGGTGACTAAAAAAGATCCTGCCTCTCCACTCCACCTGCCAATTAGGATCATCGGCCAGAGTCATCAGGGTCTCCTGCCTGGATACCATGGGGTACCCCCCCTCCTGAAGGAAGGAGAACACCCAGCATCTCTGGAGACCCTTCCTGCAGCGATGGATGTTAAGGGTTGCGATCTTAAACAACCTCATGGCTTGGGGCGGGGCGTGGAGTAGATGGTTCAGCAGGGGCCTCACACATCTCAATGCCTGGTGCGGGGCCTGCCAGCTCACATAGCGCCCTCCCATAAGTATAGAGGGCATCTATGGAACTGCGAACATGCCTATAGATCTGGGCGTTGCAGCTTTTGGGCCCCTTGCCTTCCCCTGCCAGCACCCTCGCAGTGGCGAGGACGCTGTCAAAATCTCCCCAGTGGTCCAAAGCAAGCTGTACCTTGCTGGTGGACTGCCATGTGTAGCTGCAGTCAAGAAATGCAAGTAGCTCACCCCTTGGGACTGCTGGGACCAAGAGGCCCACAGGCTTCATGGAGCCTGTTGATTCTCAGGCGTCCTCCTCCTAGTCCTGGGGCTCAGTGGGCTCCTTAGGCACTGCCTGAACCCCCCTGCTAAGACCCTGGACTCCAGTTGAGATTAGGAGAGCTCTGCAGCCCCTCGGGGGTAAGGGTGGAGGTGGGGCCCCTTTACAAGATGGTAGGGTAGAGCTGGAGTCCCAGGGGGTCTATAAAGTGTCCCCAACAATATTGGCCTGTTGTTTAGGGAACTATGGGGTAGGTTGGAAGTGAAGTTTTTCTGGGATGGGGAGGGAAGTGACATGTCAGGCACTGGGGTGGCTTCAGTATCTGCCTCAGGGCCTGGGCTCCCTCCCCAGGACTCACTGGCATGAGCCCCAGGGCCCCTGTCTCCCCCAGATCATTGTGGAGGGACTCTGCTGCCAGACTTTAATTTGGGTTGGTCAAGGCCTCAGCCTCGGCACCCATGATCTCAGGGGGTAGGCCCTGGCCAGAGGAGTGAGGGGCTTCCTCCATGATCTGCATACAGTCCCTCACCAGGACTGTTTAGGACTGTCCAGCAGCCCCGAAACCTCCTCCATGGGGATCACCTGTTTGATCTTTCCTGGGGTGAGGTGTCAGGTGCAACCAGGGAGGCCCCCCGAGAGCTGCACTGCTGCTTCCCCCCATGTGGTGGTCCTGGGAGGGGGGAAGAGTCCTCCATGTCAGAGGCTCCAACTGCACCTGGGACTTCCTCTTAACTTGGATGGAACCTACACACACTCAGCCATGGGGTGGTCCTCAGGTGGACAGGCTCCAGTAGAAGGTGAGGGTTGTGGGGGTGGGGCAGCTATAGTAGGAGCATGACTAGGGACAGGGGACCCCTGCTCCCTCTCTCCCCTTGGCTGCTGCTGCCCTCCCCGGGACCACGCTGTGGCAGGGACACTGCCATGGAAAGAAACTCACCTAAGGGAAGAGAAGTGTGGAGCTGGCGGGACATCGCTGGGTACCAGAAGTGCAGCCAGAATGGGACTGCTGAAGAAAAAAATGCCGTGCTAAAGAAAGAAGGAAAATAAACTGCCACAGGCCAAGGGAGAGCCAGAAACAACACTTGCACCAGTATGGACCCGCTTTATGGAGGCATGTCAACGCCAATTGCCGGCCGGCCCCCAGGTGGAGGCATATAAATCTTGCTATACAAGGATCACGGAGGACCAGATGTGAGTCCTCTTGAGTTCTCATCATGGCCTGGAGCTGTTTGCAGCCCCTCAGAGGGCATATGGTGGCAGCCCCGGGAGGGACCAGAGATGGATAAGTTAAGCCCAGGAGGGCATAAGTGCTTATCAGAAATAGAGCATTGGATCCGGATTCAGCCAGCCAGGAGTGGGACGATGTCCAACCTGAGGAAAAGAGAGAAAGGGATCTGTGGGAAGCTGTGGACCCAAACCAGAAGGAGACAAAAGCACACCAGGGAGCAAGGTAATCTGGGCGGGGCTGATGTAAGGCCTAAAGCCAGTTGATGTACGGCCTAAAGCCGGACAGTACACCATCCAAACCAGACTTTACTGACTTAAAGTGGGGATGACAAGCAAACCTGTTCTGTAACAAGTACTAGTCACGGCCTGGAATTAACATCTGGTTGGTGTAAGGCAGGGTGTGGGGGAGGCAGAGCCCTGAGGTGGAAAACTGGATGGAAAGATTGAAGAAGGGACTCAGGAAAGGCAGGACTTAAGATCACTCTCCCAGTAATTAATTTATACCAAAAAAGACGTGGCAGGTGATAACCTCTGGGCACCTTCCAAGATATCTGGCTGAACGGCGAGCTGTCAACCATTAAAGAGACAGTGGCGCCTGAAAAACTGGTATGGGTGAAAAGTGCTAGTGAGCAGCATGGGAGGTTACACCTGTCAATCTTTGTTTGGGGGTGGGGTCCCCATAGCTCACAGGGGGGTTGAATGATGTGGCTGGGGTGCCAGGGGAGCCTAAGGGGGGAGGGGTACCAGTGGTAGGGGCACTCCTCTCACCAGTGGGACCTGCAGATGCCCTCTCCTCCTGGCCCATGGGGCACTCATGACACAAATGCCTCAGGGTGCAGCACTGGAAGTATTGCAGGTCCCACAGTGTACAGAAAACCCTCACCAGGGCCCCCTGAAAAGGAATCATGAGGCACCCCTCAGCCTCCAGCCATATTCTCACTGCCAGCTGGATTATATGACCTGGCGACGGAAAAAGTGCACATGGCAGAGGCTGGGATCTTGGCAACCCAATGAGAGCGCCACCACCAGGGGAAGTGGCAAGGAAAAAGACCCCTTTGCCATGAAAGTGGGAGGCCGCCACAATCTTGGGTACTCCCCCACTACCTGAGCCAGGGCCTGCACCCAAGTCTCAAAGTACAGGTTCTCCTCCTTGGGCAGTTGGCACTTCACCTTATGCCTGCAGGTGAGTGCCAGATCTGACCCCCATAGTGCAATCAGTGAATTAGGGAGTAATCTAGTGCAGGTGTGGCGTTGAGTGGTGCAAGGTAGTGCAGCAGGGGGGCTGAGTGGGGGCAGCAGCAGAACAGATGGTAGCAGTAGCAGCAACAGAAGCAGCAGCATTAGCAGCCATCCAGTTCAGACATGCAGGGTATGGTTCAGGTGAAAGTGAAGGCGAAGGTGCGGGGATGGCCTGCCAAAGGATATGGGGCAGGCAAGACACCTTTAGGCTCCAGCAGTGATGGTGGGGGAGGGACCACAGGCAGTGCAGGCTCCCTCCCCAGGCTGTACCCTGGCTTGGTGGTGGGCTTGGCAGCAGGCCAAAACAGGGGTGCAGAAGCTGGGGCATGGTGCTGGGGTGTGATGCAGTGTGGTGGGCCCCTCCCTGAGAGGGGGCAGCGGTGTGCAGCAGAGGATCCCCTGTGGTGGGGGGGCACAGCAGCAGCTGCCGAAGGCAGGAAGGGGTGCGGCCAATTTACCCCCAAAAGCTCTGCGAACAAGCCAGCAGCTAGCAGTAGCCAGAGGCAGGAGGGGGCCTGGCCATTCTCTCCCCAGAAGCTCCTGAGACCAAGCTTGCAGCAGCAGCAGCAGCATGGGACAGGAAGGGGCATTGTCAACTTCCTCCCAGAGGTTCCTCCCCCAGAAGCTCCTGAGGGCAAGTAGCCCTGAGCTGCTTGGTAGGGCAGATTTTTATACTGCTGGTGCCAGGACAGGGCAGCTTTTCATACTGCTGGGGCCAGCAGAGGTGCTGGCCCCAGGCTGCAGCTCCCCCTGTATGCAGATCTGGGTTATTTTGCCCCAAGTGACACAATTTGCCCCACACCAAAGTGCATATCTGGGCATGTGCACTGAGGCAAAAAGCCCTGGCTCAAATTTGCACCACTTCTATTTGAGCTGCTGCAAGTCCACATGCCTGCATGTGTGGATGCATCCCTTGGCTCCTGTGGGAACCATACTTCAATAAGTTCTTCAACCTCAGTCAGCCAGAACACCTACCAGTTCAGCAGTTCTTTCTTAGTTTAATGAGCTCTCTCAGCTAAGTTGTTTTTTATGAGTATACGTTAGATATATTAGATATGTGCAATGAAGGGTATATACATACCGGTTCTTAATTGTATATGCGTATACTAGTATTACCTGTCTGTTCATTCTTCTCATATTCTTTGCCCCTTTCTACTTCATGTCTCTGACTGACTTGTCAGGCCACTCACTACATCTTGAACAGCTTCCCTCTTCTTGTATGTATGTCTACCTCATTTTCTGCCTTCAAATCTCTCTTAAAACTCAGATATCTTTCAATTAGCATGCCACTATCAACCTGCATTTGAGAGCTATATACTCATGTTCTCTTATGCCTTAGTCCTGCAGAAAGGTATGAAACTAATATGACGGGGAAAGATGAATTATAGTTTTAGTGATGATTCATGGCTTGAGGTACATATTTAGAACTGGTATTCTTTCACTCTCCACAACAGGATGCCCACTAGTATCAATGAAAGATTTGCACAAAGGTCAAAGGCCAAATTTGGTCTATATAAGAATCAAACTTCTAGCAACTATTATTTATTAGGTATTTTCTTGTCTCAGTACAAAAATGTTTCCCACTTTGGGCACCACTCTTTCTACTCTTCATTTCCCTTGCTTTCCCACTTTCCTTTCTACGTTTCCTTTTCATTCATTATTCTTCTTTGTTCTTCCTCTGCCTTTTCTTCTCTGTACCAATTTGCACTTTACAGGGCTTTTCTCCTTGCTTGGTGACCACCCATTGTTTAGTTATCAATAAAATAGTTAATGTTGACAAAAAACATTGTCATTATTTTAATTGGTTCGCCAATGAAATTAACGTGTTCTCTACAGACTCAATTCAGCACTGCGTAGGTTTATCATTGCTTCCCATTCAAAATGTTTTTCCTCATCATCATGAAACTAAAAATGCACTTTTCATATGAAAGCTGAAATGCATCACTCAGGTCACATATTGGGTGGCCATGTGCTTGCATCGTACCATATGATATGAAGACTATAATGAATTGGAATTAAAAGGACTGCACATACTTCAAGATAAGTGAATGCTGTCCTTTGTAACACTTTGTAGGGTATAAAAATATGTCTTCCTAATTTACAGTGGAGGAATTTCAAGATGGTATGTTGCTTGTCACAGATGGAAATTTTATGTTATGCAGGAGACTTATTTAATATTTCATAGAGTAATATTTGAAACAGGTATCTTTGGAGTTATTTTCATGAGGTGAATAATTCAGTGCCATTACTTTAATAGCTGACAATCCTGGGCCTCTCCTGAAAGATATCAGCAACAGGAGCCTTTATACATCTCTTAGGTTATAAATAGGCATCCTCAATGAAAGCATAAAAGCTGTGCCAGGGGGTGTGTCCCCGTACAGCTGATCTGGTTCTTTGGGTAATATATGTTGCCTATTGTCCTGCCTGTTGATCCTGCAGGACAATGGGTGATGTGTTTCCCGTTTACAGAGATATACGTCAACATTGGCGATGCATAGGGGGTGCACACGGCTGCACACACACCTCCTGAGTGTGGCAGTGCACCCCCTGTGAAAAGGCACCACCAACTTGCCACCCCCCTCCCCTTGCTGTTGACAATGCCAGCACCATCTGTGGGCAGTCTGCAATCACCGCTGGCTGCTGCCAACACTGCCGGCGGTATCTGTGGGTGGTCACAGTGCCCCCCCCAACCATCAACAGCATCATGGCTGCCTGTGGCAGCCCCACACTTACCACCGCCATGCTCTCACCATTGCCAGCACCACCACCACCTGCTGGAGCTCACTGTGCCTCCCTAGTCACCAGGGACACCTAGCATTCATGCACCTCAGGGAATCTCTGAAGTGTGTCTGTAAGCAGAGGAAACCTGCTCTGGTGCAGTCCTGGGGCTGGGACCAACAATCAGCTGATTGGTAGCCCTAGCCCTGGGACCACACCTGAGTGTCAGTGGGCACCTCAGGAACCCCAAACAGTGGGATGCAAGCAAGTGCTCCTGGGACTTCAGGGGCTGATCCTACATGCCCTGGAATACCCATTCCTCATTCCCATGGCGCACAGGATCAGGCTGGAGGGTGGCTGGAGAGTATAGGCAGCTCCAGGAAGACTCCACTTTCCCACATATTTCTACCACAATAAAGCAGCACAAATTGCCCTTTGACCAATTTGACCTTTAATCTTGGCCTTTGACCTTTGAACTAAGCTTGGCCATCAAAACAGGCAGTGTCTGTTTCCACCTCCTAGCTATGTCAGAAATGTTGAAACTTGTACCATAAGACTTTGTGACACACCATGGGGAAGAGGGGCATTTCTTTCCATGATTTAATTAATATATTATTACAATGAAGCAAAAAAAAACCCAAAACCCAACACTGAGCCAAATTCTGCTGCCTGCTACATTTTGGTAAATCTAGGGTAACTCTGCTGAATGCAATGCATTATGCTGACTTCAGTGGAGTTTATACTGAAGTAAAAGGCAAAAGCCATACACTTTTAAAATAAATATATCAAGTATAATTTGGTTTGGCATTTCATCTGTGTATCATCTAAACTTACATTATTGCCTTTCATGTTATTAAAAGGAAACCTTCTTTTATTTATTTATTTATTTATTAGGAACAACTGAGGGGTTCAAAAGCATCAATTAAACTGACACAAACTTCTTTAGAAAAAATCAGGAATAAGAATTATATTTTCATAGACCAATATGCTCCCTTTCATTTTTTTCTCTAATGTATAATTCCTTTAATTTTTCTAAATCAGAATCTCAAAGGTCCTTAGGGGTCCTCATTTTCAGGTGGATAAAAGTATTTTTTAGTAGCTTGTCTTCATATCAGAGGCACTGTGTTTAGATTACACAGCCCTCCTAAAGTCAGTCTGGCAAATCTCAAGTGAATGAAAGTATCATTTTATAATGGCTGAAACATTATAAAGGCAGGGTCGAGTTGCACCTTATAAACTAACAGGTGAATCAGAGTTGTATAGCATAAGTTATTCATCTCAGATGCATCCGATGAAGAAAGCAGCCTTTTGCATGGCTTCAGACTACCACAGCTATCTACCTGTGAAACATTATGTTCAGTAATATTTTTCCTCAGTATGTTTTTGTTTTAAAGCTTATAACAGATAAAAGGTATCTATCAAGCAGTAAGCAATTTTTAAAAAATGGCTTGTTCCCACAGCAGTCTCGCCCTATTCAGTCTCATGCAAAACTCCTGTCAACTTTAGTGGGAGATACACATACATAATAAGTACTGAAGATCAGGCCTTTGAAGACCTGAGGGCATGTCTGCACTGAGACCCGGCAAAAAAGCAGGATTTCCCCTGATTTCTGTCAACATGTAGTTACATCACTATAAACTAAAAGTGGTGGTCTACTCTTGGCAAAAATACAAGACATAAATTACAATTACTGCATGGCAATCAGAAGCAGCTGTTACCATTTTTTCCCTGTCACTCCAGATGCCCCTTCATACTGGGTAGCTTCACCCTACTATCAATTGTTGGCTTGCAAATGACAAGTAGCGATTCTTCTTTCCCCTTCTGCTGGAAGCACTCTAAAGGAAGAAGTGGAAAAAAATTCCCTCTGAGAAATGGAGAATTAGCAGAGGTATATTAAAAGTATCCTTCTATTTTAAAAAATAGTGTTAAGAAAAATTTAGAAAAAAATAATAATAACAACACAGCTGAAGATCAATTTAAGGAGTTCTCCACCAACTGTGTCATGAACATGAAAATTTATAGCTGAGAATTTGGGGCCTGGACCCAATGATATTGTGAGGTCCCTTCCAGCCCTGATATCTATATAATCTATGAAAACCATAGCCACATTTCAGTAATAGAGTTTGAATGGGTAAATCCAATTTACAGAACTCAAGTTAATTTGGTTCATTGTTTAGGAAGATCCAACCAATAATCTTTCAATTAAAAGTTTTTTCATCATCTGGGGGTCTGGAATGACACCCTAGGAATGCAGACTGCAAACTGACCAGGTAATACAGTGTTTTATTTGAATATATGTACATATTTCAATTTGACTAATTGCAAACAGATAAACCAAATACAAAAAGGTTACCTGATTCTTCAGCTAGATATCCCAGAAACACCAGATCTAGGGTTAGAAGGCACACTCTTTCCAGGTATAAGAGCACCAACTTTTAGTGTTGTCTTCTTCATAGGAAGTTCATGTTGTATGGAGATATTGTACTATAGAAAAAAATATAATAACTGCTTCCCCTTCCATCAGACACTTAGCCAGCTTCAACCCAATCAAAAGGTACCTTTTGACAATGACTATGTGGTTTGAGCACATTATGTTTTGTAATTGAGCTTTTAAACATTCACCCTTTTTGTAGAAATGACCACTTGTATACATTTTTGTTTACTCAATGATTTTCCCTGTAAAAGC